AGGGCAAAGGCTTTTCTTCTACTCTGTTTGTGGCGCTGGGGTCTCATTGGCATTGTTGTCAGTGATCTTGTTTTCCAGCTCATCGTCGGACAGGAGGTCCAAAGAAGAAGTTCCCTCGACCTGCAGCGGACGTCTGCCTGAGCGACTGGAGGAGAAGGTGATGGGGCCACCACGCCTGTAAGAGGGAGAGGAGCAGAGAGGAGGTAAAAAACAGGAAGGCACAAATTAAAATGGAAAATGTCTGCTGCTGTTAGCGACAAATGGTTAAAGTAGCAATGTCACTTTAAAAAAAAAAGATCAAGTAAATGAGGATCCTGTGACTGCAGCCACTTTCTCCCTCCTCACCTGAGGCGGTTCTTGAGAGTGTGGACCTCACGGCTCAGGCCCTCGCTGGCCTCGGTGGCGTCATCCAGTTCTCTCTGCAGCTTCCTACGTGAAGCGTTGGCCCTCGTGGCCTCCTCTTCAGCCTCCTCCAGCTGCCGCTTCAGCTGCTTCATACGGGAGTTGGCCTTTTCCACCTTCACACACACGGAGACGCGAGACATAGAGCTGTTGTTAAGCTGAAGCTGAGAACACGCGCAGTGAGTGATAAATGCAGCTTATTTACAGCAGCAGTAGACATACTTGCTCTTTAAACTGGTCGGCATGGCGACGCTCATCCTCCACTTGCATGCAGACTTCTTTTAGCTTCTTCTCGGTCCTTCTGACGATCTTGTTGGCTGCCGCTCGCTCCCTTGAGTGGAGAAGATGTTCCACGTTTAAAGTTTTCTGACTGTTTTTGTTCATTAGCTAGAGCACGAAGAGCGGTGTAGTAAATTCCTACCTTGCCTCCTGCTCCAGCTGTTCCTCCAGCTGTGCTATTTTGGCCTCCAGGGCAGTGATGGAGGCCTTGAACCTGTTCTTCACAGAACCCTCCAGCTCGCCCAGCTTGGCCCGCAGCTCCTTGTTTTGACGCTCCAGTTGCTGGCGAGCATTTTCGCTTTTCTGGGCTGTGCTGCGCTCTGCGCTCAGCTCTGTAGTCAGAGTGTCCACCTGATGGAGGGCGAGAAAGGTGGAGTAAAAAAAAAAATCGTCATGGAGAAACAGAGAGAATCCAAGTGGACAGGGATGGTGCACGACACAGGTTATGGTTCCTCTCCGATAGCCGAGATGGGTAAAAACCTGCCCTCCTCATCAGTGCTGCCAGACTGAGGTTGACAAACCCCCCCCAGATATTTTCATTTGGAGATGACATCAGTCGATATTTGGTTTCACATGGATTTGTTGGCTTTTTACGTTTCCTTAAAAAGCTGCAGTCAACTCAAGGCAAACTGATACACCTCTGAAATGAAACAAGGGCCCATCCATCTTTCTTACAGCTTCTTGGAGCTCAGTAAATGTTTTAGTCCAATGAAGACTCGGATGATTAAAGACACTGAATACGCTCATACTGACATTGCGGTATGAAATCAAACCTGCATGGTTGTCTTTCTGAAGCGGTCATTGAGTAGCTCCATGTTGCCCTGCTCCTCTTCCAGCTCCTCCTCCAGCTGGGCGATGCGAGCCTCCAGCCTTCTCTTCTCATCCATCAGAGCAGTCCTGACACAACGAGAAAAATAAGATGTCCTCGATGAACAGAGCAGCCGAAATACGACTGTCAGGGTCATTTTAGTTTTTCTGTAAATTATTGGTTTGGTTTTTGAGAATCATTTGTTTTGACTTTTGCACTTTTCTCGTAATGTCATTTCCTAGAGCAGGTGAACTTACTTCCCAGAGGTGCTGTTTGAGATTTCATCTTGCAGTTCATCGCGCTCCTGCTCCGCGTGGCGTCGTCCCCTCTCAGACGCTGCTAAGTCCTGCAGGGCAGAAAAAAAAAAAATCTATCAGCACCAATGTTCCCTCTAATTTTCCATGTGTCTGAGCGAACACACAAACTCCCTGAGCGATCCCTTGGACCACTGTGAGCGACATCAGACGTGTGCACTGTGGTCACGCCGGCATTGAATCCATCCAAGTTACATGGTTTATTAAGATAATCAAATTACAGCATTTACATGTATGTTAGACTACTTTTAATTAACTGCTTTAGCCCACTTACAATGAAAATGTAAAACAAAAATGTAGTCATTGACCTGTGTAGTATGGTAACACTATTGGAAGTAAAAATAACTTGAACTCAAATTTTGAAAACACAACTTTCTTCTTTTTTCTTTTTTATAAAGCTCTGACTTGTATTATGAGTCTGTGGTCTGGGAGAGAGTCCTGTAACTCTGTCTGCAAAATACAGTA